GAATTATTAGAAAAATAGGGTTTCCGTTTATTTAACCCAAAAAAATCATATTTACAAAAGTAATAAATGTTGAGCTCATAAAAGACAACAGGGTTGCAACACTCACTTGTTGAAGGTTGGATGATTCCAAGAGACAGCATGAGGTCCACCTCCTCCTTTAGCTCCACCAGGAAGTGTTCTGGTATCTTGTAACTCAAACGCTTCACAGCTGCATCAGGTCTTAAAACAATGTCATGCTCCACCAGACTTGTGGAGCATGACATTGTTGGAGCATAACCAGTGACACTTATCCTTTGACTTTTTTGTGTTGTCCATTTCTTTCAGGACTAAGCAGGAACAATTAAACTCAACTTCACAAAGCTGTGTATCCATGGAGAGTCAGAGATCCAGGGATTACCCGATTAGTTTCAACCAACAAGAATCAGCTACAGAGTAAGTCAGCAGAGCAGTTTTTAGCATAACTGTGAGATCGGTATTAAAAAGATCTATGTTGTTTGTTTCTCTTGCCATCAAGTGTGTCAGTCAGTAAGCACAGAATTCCTGAGGCAAGTACTATGGGCTCCTTTTAATGTAGCTTCTATTATTTTTTTAAATGCACATTTGTTTTAATGTGTTTTGTCCCAAACCAAAAATGTTGTGTTGTTATGTAACGTATACACATATGTCTCCTCTTTGTATACAGAATAAATTTGTTCTCTTATTCCTTTTTCTTTGTTTTAATGTAATGACCTTTTTGTTTTAATTTTCATGACAGTGGCTTACGGCTTATTCAAATCAGAAATCTACTATTTCCAAATATTTACTTGGATCAATCAAAAAATTCAAATCAAGAAATAACGTATATTACTTAACGTCTGAAAAGTATGTTCATTAACATTCCATACTGATTTCCATCTTCTTTACCACAAAATACTGCATCAATACAGTGTGACCTGGAGGTGATTAGTGAGTGGCATTACTGATGTGTTATTTGACTCCCTAGCAGTAAACCTGATGCAGCTCCCTAGCAATAATGAGTCATGTTTTGCCCACAGAGGTCACCAGACGGTGTCAGAGGGGTCCACCCATCATCAGACAGACCTGGACTCCATATTTCGGGTTAGTAACTGTATAAGCAACCCTCTGTAAATAAATAAAAGAAACAGAGTACTTTAACTGGTCTAGTTCACCAAAACATATTTTGAGTGTATTCTGAGAGTGTGTGGTGGAGGTCCTAATCCAGGAAATCTTCAACTTCCACATTTTGCAGAACACTGAGAAAAACTGGGGACATTCAGTCCATATGAACTATCTTCCACGCTTCTACTGCTGAGTCAGCAGTAGGAAACTGGCTGTGGCCTATTGTGGTGGCACTTACACAACCAGATGGTCGACACTTCATGTAATGTAATGTGGGCCCCTTCTTGGGGGGGACTGAATGAGTTTAACCCTGAGTTCCTGAAGTCTTAGGATGTTGTTGGGCCATCTTGATTGACATAGCTGAACCTCTCAGGATCACATCTTTTTTGATGTTGCCCTTTTGGTGTCATCAAGTATTGACCTCTACTTGAAACTCAGTATGAAATGGCTGGAATGAGAATTTGCACCAAGTCTAAAGCAGTGTTTCTTATTAAGGGTTTAAGGGGAAAAGTGTCCACTCCAAATTGGGGAGGAGCTGTTTCCCCAAGTGGTGGAATTCAGGTATCTTGGGTTTTGTTTATGGGGGGAAAAGTGCAGAGTGGGATTGACAAATGGCTTGGCACAGGTCTGTTGTGGTAAAGAAAGAACTGAGGTGAAACTATTTTGCATTTTATACCATCAACTTTACAAACAAACTAAAAGAATAAAATGATAAAATAATATGTACATGTGCGTGGAATGAGTTTGTATACATGGCTCTTCCCTAGATATAGAAAGAAAATAGAAAGGAGTCAACTGAAGGTACATAATAATACATTTTGGACAGAATGTAGGTCTGTGAAATGAAGAATCAAAGCTTTTGACAGAGATACATTTCTGCTTCTGAAACTGAAATTTAATCGAGTATTATTGTATTACAGGTTGTTGAGGAGAACATTGTTACTTTTGTGAAAAATGAGCTGAAGACATTCTGTAAATTGCTGAGTCCAGATTACCCAAAATGCTTGGAGAGTCAAGCTAAGGATGAGGAGATAAATAATAGTGAAGATGAAGACCAGATATGGAGGAGCAGAGAGGCTTTTCTGAAAATCACACTGCAGGTCATGAGACGAATGAAACATGGAGAGCTGGCTGACTCTCTGCAAAACAGTAAGAGGTTTTTAATACAGTAGATGATGAAAAATAAACATACAAGCCAAAACAATTAAAATCTGGGGTGCTGAAAATCTTCTATACAAAACCTTACATCTTTAAAGATCTTCTTGGCTATGCATACTATCCAAGAGTATATCAAGAGTTTCTGTCTGGGTTGTAGAAATCACATTTTTCTATCAGTAAAATTCTTTATAAGCAAAATAATCAACTTATTGTCACTACTGAATCACCCAGTGAGTGATTCAGTAGTGACAGTAAGTTGATTATTTTGCTTATAAAATTTAGGATTATTTCAATATCACATGTGTATAAAATTAACATGTGAACCAAACTCCCCCAAAAGAAACAATTTTCTACAATCACATTAAGAGATAAATGTGGCTTTGTTTGTGTCAGCTTTTTATTATTTTTCTGTCACCTAATTTGTCTTTGGTTTAAAGTAGGGAAATTGAGATACCTGTACAATGGTCTAATTTAATACAATTTATCATTTTTCTTTTTAGGAGCTTATGGGGCCATGTGTCCATATAAACTCAAATCAAGTCTAAAGAAGAAGTTTCAGTGTGTGTTTGAGGGGATTGCCAAAGAAGGAACTCCAACTCTTCTGAATCAGATCTACACAGAGCTCTATATCACAGAGGGGAGATTTACAGAGGTCAACTCGGAGCATGAAGTCAGACAGATTGAAGCAGCATCCAGGAAATCAGATGGAATTGAACCAAAAATCAAACAAGAAGACATATTTAAACTCTCTACTGAAAGAGATGAACCAATTAGAACAGTCATGACAACGGGAGTGGCTGGCATTGGGAAAACAGTTTTAACACAGAAGTTTGCTTTGGACTGGGCTGAAGGCAAAGACAACCAGGATATCCAATTCATATTTCTATTTTCTTTTAGAGAGCTGAATGTGTTGAAAGAGAAAATGTTTAGTTTGGTGGAACTTGTTAATCACTTCTTTCCTGAAATGACAGAAGAAGGAATCTGCAGGTTCCAGGATTTCAGGGTTTTGTTTATCTTTGATGGTTTGGATGAGTGTCGACTTTTGTTGGACTTCCACAAAACTGATATCCTGACTGATGTTACAGAATCCACCTCATTGGATGTGCTACTGACAAACATCATAAGGGGGACATTGCTCTCCTCTGCTTGCATCTGGATAACCACACGACCTGCAGCAGCCAATCAGATCCCACCTGAGTATGTAAACATGGTGACAGAGGTTAGAGGTTTCAATGACAGGCAGAAGGAGGAATACTTCCGCAAGAGATTCAGTGAAGAAGAGCAGAGAAGCATAATTATTTCCCATATCAAGAGGTCACGAAGCCTCCACATCATGTGCCACATCCCTGTCTTCTGCTGGATCTCTGCTAAAGTTCTGGAGAAGGTATTAAAAACAAAAGAAGGAGGAGAGCTGCCCAAGACCCTAACTGAGATGTATGTTCACTTTCTGGTGGTTCAATGCAAACAGAAGAACATCAAGTATGATGGAGGAGCGGTGACAGATTCACACTGGAGTCCAGAGACCAAAAAGATGATCGAGTCATTGGCAAAACTGGCTTTTGAGCAGCTGCACAAAGGGAACCTGATCTTTTATGAATCAGATCTGACAGAGGGTGGCATTGATATCAGAGCAGCCTCATTGTACTCAGGAGTATTCACACAAGTTTTTCAAGAGGAAAGTGGATTGTACCAAGACAAGATGTTCTCCTTTGTCCATCTGAGCGTGCAGGAGTTTTTGGCCGCTCTTCATGTCTATCTGACATTTTTCAATTCTGGAGTCAATTTGATGTCAAAAGGAACTTCAGTGTGGTCCAGACTGTTTAAAGCCGAACCTGATTCAGTGTCTCTCTACCAGAATGCTGTAGACCAGGCCTTACAGAGTCCAAATGGACACCTGGACCTATTCCTGCGCTTCCTCCTTGGTTTATCTTTGGAGAACAATCAGAGACTGCTACACGGTTTAGTGAAAGAGACAGAAAGCAGCTCACTAACCAATCACAAAACAGTCCAGTACATCAAGAATAAGATCAGTTCCACTTCCTGTCCAGAGAAGAGCATCAACCTGTTTCATTGTCTGATTGAGCTAAATGATTGTTCTCTAACAAAAGAGATACAACAACACTTGAGCTCAGGACGTTTGCCCATAGATAAACTGTCTACTTTTCACTGGTCAGCTTTGGTCTTCATTTTACTGTCATCAGAAGAAGAGCTGAATGTGTTTGACTTGGATAAATACTCTGCTTCAGATGAGGTTCTTCTGAAGCTGCTGCCAGTGGTCAAAGCATTTACTAAAGCTGTGTAGGTTAAATAGCTGTATAAATCAAATGTATAAAAATATATTAAAAGGTCTGTCAGTTCAAATACTTTTTCTTGCAAATACTTTTAGGGTGAGTTGCCATGACCTGTCAGAGAGAAGTTTGAAGTCTCTGGCCTCAGTTCTCAGCTCCCAGTCCTCCGGTCTGAGAGAGCTGGACCTGAGTTACAACAACCTACAGGATTCTGGAGTGAAGCTGCTCTGTGAAGGATTACAGAGTCCACACTGCAAACTGGAAACACTCAGGTTAGGATTAAAATAATCATATAGTTATTTAAAACCTGCTTTAGCATGGGTACATGTCATCAAATGTGTAACGAGTAATGTAATTTCTTTATTATAACTGACTGTTGTCAGATTTTAAAAAAAATATTTATTTATTTATTTATTTATTTGCAATAACTGTCTCTTTAACATACCCCACTGTTCTTAATACTGCTAATGTAATAATAGGGCTTTGGAGCGTGATGTCACGGGGGTGGGCGTGGAAAGGATTTTGGCTCGATCCGCCATTTTCGGGGTCTAGCGCAAATGAAAAGGGGGCGAAGGCACACACAACAGCCACGGTTCGTATTTGCTGTGTGGTCGGCTGCAATGTTCGATCGCACGACCGGCAAGAGAATAAGCTTGAAAATGGTTTATCTTTTCATTCTTTCCCAACCTGGAAGCAACACGAGGCAGCTCATGTATCAATGTTAGCAAACGAAGGCGTGTAGCCTGGATAGCAGCTGTGAGACGAGCTGATATCCAGTTCTCTTCCATCTCCAAATATCTGTTGGTGCTCCAGACAGTTTCATTCCGGTAAGTTCTAAATATGTTCATATCACTCTTTATAGCCTATTAGTTTTATTTTCGATGCACTCTGAGCTCATAGCAAATTAGAACAAACATCCTACTGAGTGATTTTGTAGAACCACCTTCTATTTATAGACTTGCTAATTATTTGGCATTATTGCAGGCAAACCAGCCTATGAAATGGATGAAACACATCGTGACTGGGGTCCAGCGCTACACAGGGGACCTGCTTCAAACATACCACCATGCCAATCAGATTACTTCGTCCATGTGAGGGTGAAGAGATGACCCTTCTGGATAAGATGGTGAAGGTTTGCTGCGTTTTGGTGAACAGTGTGATAATAAAACCAGGGAAATATGAAACCTGCTCCTGTTAAATATTCTTAAGTATTGTGCTGTTAAAATTGCTGTATTTTTTCAAAAGATACAGTAAATAAAGTAATGTTAGTAGTGGTTGATATCATGTAAACACTGTCATGATTTTATGTAAACATTTTGTCATTTGTAAACTATAAATGACTGGATTCTACATTGTAACGGATGTGATGTTCTATAAAGTGGTTTTCATAATAATAAAAAAAGAGGCAGAAATTAGTTTGTTTCTTTATTCAATTTTTGAACAGTGGTACTCAGTGAGTACATATTCAGTAAATGCAAATTATTTACATGGCAGTGCACTACAGGCATAAATCTAGACCCCTAGATAAAACATTATGGGTCATTCCCACAACCCACATCTTTACTGTGCTCCAGCAAAGTATCCAAGTATCCTCCAGCAGTGACAACTCCTCCACAGTAGCAGGTGGGATTTTTCTTTTTTGAGGACGGCTCCTTTTACCTGTCACTACGGATGGTCTGTTTATGTTTTGATCAAGAGCCTTTTTTTGGGCAGCTGAAGAGGAGAAGTCTATCTTACGGCCAACCTATGACTGTATCTTGGTCACATTACCCAGCAAAACCCAGCATGCAGGTTCATCTGTAACAGTTCTGTGCCACAGATCAACACTGTTGCTTCTACATTAAACAGAAGAGCAGTGACGTGGGTGCAGGTCTCCACGACTCCGGCCTTACAGGTGCAGTGGGCGGCTTCAACCTTCGCTGTGATGCTCACAGTGACCCATGGCTGTAATGCTCGTTCATTCAGTCTTTGAGAGTGCAGGACCTGAAACACACAAAGTTCATTTAAAGACAAGAACTATGAGCCAAGGCTGACATAAATGTGTTTAATCTAATTTATCATAAATGTAACAAAGTGTTTAGAAAGTTAGCACATACATGTAATTTTTCATTTCTTTATGTGTCCATCTATAGAACACTGCATGTTATAGTGTTAATCTGCCTGTTCTCTGTCAGAAACCTGCCTGCAGAAAATGAACCTAAAGTATGTAATGCAAGGATGTCATCACTTTAGAGATGGAGAAAGCATAAAGTGACAATTATGAGTCACTTAATATGATAAGGAGATTCTGTAGGTCATTAATCAATGTATAAAACTAAAATAAAATGTATTTTTAGTGACACAAGATACAAATATGGAAGCAAGATGTATAATTAGAATTATTTATAATAAATATGAATAAATTAGTGCAATTTCTTTAACCATAAAGAATAACTAAATCCTTCAGGACAATGTCACATCAATGCACTGAACTCACTATGTTATCCCTCTAACAGCCTCCACATGTTCTCACTGTAGTTTCCCCTCATGAATGAATTTATGCTGCACTAATCTGAATGTTTGCAGGGAAATCAAACGCATTTCACACGCAGTACTCGAGCTGACTTACCTTTGTTTGAATGACGACTTGTACGCGCTGACTCCACAGACAAGGTACGAAAATATGTCAGGCTACGTCAATAGCGGTTGGTCTTCAGGGTTTCTACTCCACGGCTGTGTTTCATATGGGTCCACATTTCCAATGCACGCTATTTTCTGCAAGTACCGCCGCTTCGCCTCTGGACGCAATCGGTCTCTATACAGTCCATTCTCTTTTGAGCTGCTTTTAAGCATCTTTCTTGTAGTCGTCGTTCCAACAGTGTGTTTGTTTTAATTCGTAGACCCCGAAAATGGCGCTGCGCTCCCATAATGCATTGCGGCGTGACGTCAACTCCAAAGCCCTATAAAGGTGTAGCTACTGTCATTTAATAATTTTTGATAAATGTGATTCTATAATAACTGTAACCTAACAAAATATCCTCCAAATGCTTATCTTTATTTTTTTGGCAATAGTGGAAAACAGCTGCACGTTAAGGACAATGAGTTGTTGTCATCACACTATTTCGTTATTTGTTCCTTTTTTTAGTCTTTGTTGCTGCAACCTGTCAGGAAAAAGCTGCGAGGCACTGGCTTCTGTTCTCAGCTCCCAGCCCTCCAGTCTGAGAGAGCTGGACCTGAGTAACAATGATTTGGACGATTCAGCTGTGATGCTGTTCTGTGAAGGACTAAAAAGCCCAGAATGCAGACTGGAAACTCTCAGGTCAGGATACAGCCATTTGTTCAGTCTCTTAAAAAATGATCTAGGGCCAGGTGTGGGCAAACTTTTTGGCTCAGGGGCCATACTGAAGTTAAAAATTTACAAAATGGGCCAGGCCAGCACCAGATGCATACATATCAAACAAAAACATTAAGAAGGCATTATAGTGTTAATACTTACATTCACCTTTAGTGGGAACAGTGTTGTTCATCACCCTTTTTTGTCAGTGCATCGAAATCTGGTGTTAGATTTGTTGTGGCAATTCTCAGAACAGATCTGAGATGTTCATTACTCAACTGGGATCTGTGGGGTGCTTTGTTGTTGTTCATCACACTGAAAGTCTGTTCACATACGTACGTAGAGCCAAACAACACCAGCATCCTCTGTGACATCTTCTGGATCTTTGGAAATTTGGCTGCGTTTAATGATGCATAAAACTCATCCTGTTTTAAGACAGTTGAACTTCTCCTTTAAGACATTGTCACATTGGAGATCAATCACTTCGCTGTTTCCGGGTCTTGTGTGAAGGGACATGACACCAGCTGAAGTGACTTTTCAATTTTCCCAAAATGAGAAAACCGGTGAAAGCCAGTGTGGGGAAATGAGCGATATAATGTAAATGACTTAGCTTTTTTGTTTAGCTTGCTAGCTAAGTCTTTGTCGATTACCTCAACACGGCAAGTCACTGTCCTGCATGATAAGCTAATTTTTTCAAATTTGTTCTTGCTCTCAGGACACAAGATACCTGCTGTCTCTACCATGCACTCTTTAGGAAACTCCCCATCAGAGAATGTCTTGCTGGCCTTTGCTAATTTAAATGCCAGTAAATAACTTGCCTTTGTGCTTGATTCTTGGATGGTAGTTTGTCGGATAAAGGTGTTTTGCTGAGCCTGCAAACTAGCTGTTAATCTCTGAGCGGTAGTCATCCATTCTTGCGTTGACAGGTTGTTAGCATAATTAGTATGCTTAGTGGAAAAGTGACGGCTGATGGTGTATTCCTTAAAAATCGCAACGGTTTCTTGGCAAATAAGACATACAGCCTTTGACCGAACATCTGTGAAAAAGTATTTTGTTGTCCATTCCTTGTTGAAAACTCGGCACTCACTGTCGAATTTTCTTTTCTTTGGCCCACTCATTGTTGCAGAAAGGTTCAGAGCAGTAGCAGAGTAACAACAGAGAGTATCCCGGGCTTGTACAGTTTTTAGTTTTCACAGCACAAATGGGTATGTGGCGGGGCATGGCTTGTGGTTCCGTGCAGGGAAGGCGGACAGACCTGGACGGCATTTGGCTGCTTGAGCTGGGAGCGGCGGTGGCAACAATGGAGGAGCCGAGACAGAGGTCCCCGTGCCAGGGGAGCCCCCTCGATTGGAAACAGAAACAGCTCTAGTAAAAATCACAAATGATCTTCTGCTTGCAGCTGACTCTGGAGTTATCACTGTCCTCATCCTCCTTGATCTTACCGCAGCTTTCGATACTGTCTCTCACCGCATCCTTCTTCATAGATTAGCATCTATTGGGATCAATGGTACAGCACTCGCCTGGTTTACCTCATATCTCTCTGGCTGCTCACAGATTATTCAATTACTCACTCACAGGTAACTATCTACTCCAGTTAATTCCGGTGTAACCCAAGGCTCTATCCTAGGGCCTTTCCTTTTTATTATCTATCTCCTATCCCTAGGCAATATTTTCAAGAAATATAACATCCGATTTCACTGCTATGCAGATGACACCCAGTTCTACTTATCTTCCAAACCCACAACTACTCTCCCACCCACATTTCTGATTGTTTAAGTGAAATCAAGGTTTGGTTTACTCACAACTTTCTTAAACTTAATGGCAATAAACAGAATTTATTCTAATAGGCACCAAATCAAAACAGACTAAAGTTCCAACCAGAACTTTTTCATTATCCATTAATAACTCTGTTGTCACTCCTTCCCCTCAGGCTAAGAGTCTTGGTGTGATCCTTGACAGCATCAAGGCTCAACCCTACCCACTCCTTATCTCCTATAAACAAATACAAGCTAAGCTGGTTAAGAGGCTGGTTAGATGATCAGGGAACCAAATAATCCTTTGGAAGTAGTGGCCATCTTGGCTCCTTATATATGTGGTCCTTAGGCTAGAGCCAGTCTTCCAGTATCACGGGAAAGCGTGTAATAGACATGCCGTTCCACCTATTCATTTCACACTCACTACCAACTTATTGGCTTTATATTTATTATCTCCTCCTGCTGGTAATACAACATCTGCATACAGTACTGCAATTTCTGCATGCGTGTCTATGGACACGGTGGACCGGTGTTTATTACACACTTTGCTGTGATTCTGGGTTGAACAGTTATAAAAAAATATATACATGTGTGTATATATAAAGTTTTGAGCCACCCCTCAAATTTTATATTTTTCTAGAAAAATGAGAAACAATTGCAGTGATTGTTTTGAAACAAAATATAGGTTATAAGTATATATTTCTAATCTTCCCTTAGTTATAGTGCAATGGGTCTAGGCTGCTGGGGGATTTCCGTGATGCATTCTTTCTTCTTCAGTCACTTTTCTCACTCACTACATGTTTATACACCTCTCTGCATTGAATTATTAGTTATTGTTGATCTCTGGCTTTTGTCCTGTCTTCCTTCCTCCCACCTCAGCAGATGGCCGCCCCTCCCTGAGCCTGGTTCTGGTGGAAGTTTCTTCCTGCTAAAAGGGAATTTTTCCTTCCCACTGTCACCAAAGTGCTTGCTCATATCACTTAGTCATGATTGTTTGGGTTTTCTCTGTTGTATTATTGTAGGGTCTACCTTAAATGGTAAATGGTAAATGGACTGATTCTTATATAGCGCTTTTCTACTCTCTCGGAGCACTCAAAGCGCTCTATACAACATGCCACATTCACCCAATCACACCCATTCTCACAAGCACTTTATCTATACTTAGTGCAATTTAACTACATTCACACACATTCATACTCCGATGGACGCATCGGAGAGCAACTTGGGGTTAGTATCTTGCCCAAGGATACTTGACATGCAGACTGGAGGAGCCAAGGATCGAACCACCAACCTTCCGATCAGTAGGTGACCTGCTCTACCTCCTGAGCTACAGCCACCCCACTACCTTACAATATAAACCGTTGCGGTTTGGTGTTGTATAATTATAATTCAGTTGAATTGAAATGAAGTCAAATAAAGAGACTGATTAAGTGTAATTGAAAGTCAATATTTGGTGTGACCACCTTTTTTGTTTAAAATAGCCTGAACTGTCTTTTGCAAGCTTTCTTATAATTTCTTTAAGTAGTTTTCAGGAATAGTTCCTCTGGCTTCTTGAAGAACACTCAAAGCTCTTCCTTGTGTTAGTCTTGACACTTTTTTGCTGTTTAGACTTCAGAAATCTCTGTTTGTGTGTTTTGTGTGTGTAGGCTGTTAGGATGTCTGATCACAAAGAAAGGCTGTGCTTCGGTGGCTTCTGCTCTAAATTCTAACCCAGCTCACCTGAAATTGTTGGATCTGAGTTACAATCATCCAGGAGAATCTGGAGTTAAGCTGCTCTCTGCTGGAAGAGAGAATTCAAACTGGGCACTGAACGATCTCAGGTATGAATAGACCAAGGTGTAAATGGATTTTCTCTAAAATATTTCAGAAAAAAACAAACATAAAAATGAAACCAGACTAATTTCTAAGCAGCTAAAATTAATTTCTCTTAATGTTATGATTACAAAAAACAACAACTTTGTCCACATCATTTCTTGTTAATTGCTGTTAATTGCTTTTTCAATACCTATCAGGATTGAACCCCATGGATCACAGTTCTTAAAACCTGTTCTGCAGAAGTGTAAGTATGCTCTTTTTTTTATTAAATAAAATTACAGCACTGGTTGTTAGTGTTAACAGTCTTCAGGTCATTTCATTTATGTAATTTTGTGGTGTTCAACCTACTATCCTGGAACTAATTTAACTAATTTCTAACCAAAGACACAATGAGTTTATTTCTATAATGTACCACTGCAGTTTACCAGCATCACAAACAACCAGGGCAAAAACTCAGAGCTTTTTGCCCTGATTTGATATAATATACTAACGAACAAGCTTTTCAAGTCAACATCATGTCAATATCTTTTTTTTTTAATATATATTTTTATATACAGTGGAACCCCGACTTACGAATACCCTATTTAACGAAAAATTCAAGTTAGGAAGGCACTGAATGGCAGTATTTCTGCCCGTGTTACGGCAGCAAAAATTCTCTGGCACAACTTCACCTGCTTCCAAGGTGCATGGAGAGGATGAAAGAGTTCACAAAGCAGGAACTCCAGCAACACTTGAGGGAAGATGAACAACTTTAATAATTGACCAACGCGTTTCGGCTTGTGGCCTTCATCAGGGTCATTTTACGGCAAAATGCCCGAGTAATGAAATCCACTGGCTCTGATTGGCTGAGCCTACAATGCCCACAATGCCTTCTGAATCATGTGACAACCCCTTGGCTTTCGTACTTGTGCTTTGCTGTTCCACTTGAACGACATATTGTTGTTCTAGTTAGCAATTGGCCTATAGCCTGTCATTCAGCATCGCCTCACTCAAAAGACGCGATAGGTGCTTCGACTTATGAGTGACTTATGAAAGACCCTCGGGAACGAATTAATTTCGTAAGTCGGGGTTCCACTGTATATTTTTTTTATATATTTTTTTCCATTCTCACAAATAGTACATAATTACATAACATAATAAAGTGTACAGTTCAGAGCCAAAAAAACAACAACAACAAACAACCCAAAAACAAAGCAAAAACAAAAAACAAACAAACAGACTGAGAACTAAGCACAAAACAAAACACCAGCTCAGATCCATCTAAAAGATAAATAAAGAATACAATACAGTACAATACCTGTGGTCCCAGTAGAACGCTGCAGTTTGAATATTCAAGAGAATCCTTGTAGCATAATATCAGAGACATCAGGTTCCACACCTTGAAGAATTGGTCTCTTTTTGACTGCAGTACACATGTAAGATATTCCAATGGCACTAGGTCCAACACTACTCTTTGCCAGCCTTTAATAGCTGGTGTTTTTTCATTAATCCATTGGAGTAGAATATTCTTCCTCGTCGCATAGGTGAGAATACAATACAACCTCCTATTATTCTTGGATATTAAACGCCGGCTGGGGAGGCCGAGTATGAGCGACAGAGGATCCATCTCCAATTCACAGCCCAAAATCTTCTCCATTTCAGATAACACATTAGACAATATTCTTGCAATTTCAAACATGACCAGAAGTTGTGAGTTCCAAGTACCAATTTCTGTCTTGCATTTGAGGCACATGGGGGAAAGGGTAGGGTAGGGGTAAACATAGATGTTAATTTCAACCTTCCCTCAATTCGACATACTGACCGCCCGGCCTTAAGTGTATTAAGTGCGATTGGATTATCACAGCTTAATCTAATATCTTTAAAGTTCTTAAAGAACAGTAAGTCCCTTAATGGATGCTTTGAAATAGAGGTTTCAATCCCCAACCAGATAGAGTATGAATTATTTGTAACCCAGTCATGAATATAGCACATGTGAGTACTCAATTGATACATTCTAATTTTTGGTCAATCTAGACCCCTTACTGAACCTGGGAGCTGTACTGTAGCCATCTTAAGTTTTGGTCTGCGTTTGCTCCATATAAAAGAGCTTAGCCAGCCATTCAGATGCTTCATCACCCTATTTGAAAACATAACTGGAATCATTTGAACAGAATAATGGGAATAATGACATTTATATCTAAAATCGGACCTAATCACCAGCAATATATCCAGATGTGTGTCAATCTGTTCTCTCCATCTGTTTGTATATGACCAACTTAAAAATTTGGGATCTGAAGTTTGACACTATGTGGTTGGTTCTAATATTTTAGCTAATAGTTGCTTTCTGTTCATAACGTTTCTTAACAATCCCAACTAATGCATGTGTTATAGTTTTCATGTCTGCCCGTGTTTGATTGGGTTTATGCAAATGCAGGCATTCACATGCTTGATCATTTTTTGTAATTGCGTGGACTCATCCTCTGAGTTCAAGCAACAACTCTGTGTTCAAACCCATGACAGAGTATAATTACCACTTGAATTGTGAAAATCTTACGCAAGCCCTTAATTAAAAGTAATTTCAGCTTTTTCCTAAAACCAAGTCTTAACCTTCAAACAGGCCTTTGACTCCCTGGAGATGATTTAAAAGTAAATCTGTAAAGTGCACCTAAAAAAGCACGTGTTGCAATCCCCCCAAATTGAAACAGCATCAAAGTTAGAGTAAGACAATAAACTGCTGTTCTGCTTTATCTTTCCTTCAGATGCCCGTAAACTCACCTTGGACCCAAACACTGCAAACAAAAACCTTATAATGTCAAACAACAACAGAAAAGTGGCAATGGGTAGACAGAAGCAGTCATATCCCGATCACCCAGAGAGGTTTGACTACTGGAAACAAGTGCTGTGTACAGAGGGTCTGTCTGGTTGTTGTTATTGGGAGGTTAAATGGGAAGGACATATTTACTTAGGAGTGACATACAAAGGAATCCGGAGGAAGGGGCAAGGGGATGACAGCTGTCTTGGATGCAATGATATGTCCTGGACCCTGATGTGCTCTAATGGTGGTTACTCTTGCCAACATGGTAACAAAAGAAGATCCATCCGTACAACTGCTACCAGCAGAACAGGGGTATACCTGGACTGGCATGCCGGCACTCTGTCCTTCTTTAATGTCACCTCTGGCAAACTGATACACCTCCAAACCTTCCGTACTGAATTCAAGGAGCCAGTCTACCCTGCTTTCAGGGTCAGGACTGATCCATTTAACTCATCGCTGGCTTTGTGTTAGATAAATCTTTAAATCTGGTTGGAACTCATCTTAGATGCAGTAGGGCGACACATCAGGGCCATAGTTTAAAGTCACCAATGCTTTTCCAGTAGCTGACCATTCAGCAAGTCTGAGTAATTAATCAAAGAGGCCTGCTCTGGTACAGAAGTCTCAAGTAGTTGAGTCTAGCTAGGGTTAGGTCACGCTAGTTCAAGTTAGCTGGCCCACAATTCACAGCCTGAAGTTTAGCTGGCTTGTGGGAACATTCATGAAGTGAATGTTCGGCTTGGAGCTGGCTGCGGTGCAGGACCTTCGAGAGGCTGGACAACAGCATCTTCATCACTCAGTACAGTGGCGATGAGGTTAGAGCACTGGGCAGCTTGACTTTGGCTGGCTGTGCAAGTGTGGAATTTGCTGTCTCCAGCAGCGAAGATGTGGAGCTCGACTCTTGAGGTGTGGGTATGAAATTTACAAAGTCAGCCATTTATTCAATGACGTTTCCTTGTATATTTTGCAAAATTATCAGAATTCTGAACTTCAAAAAGGTAATAAATGAATTGAGAAAAAAAATCTAAATTGTGAGATTATTCACTCAACCATAGCGAAACTGTAAATTTTGTACAAGTTGCACAAAGTTTCTGTAAATATACTGTAACTGTTACAATGTAAACCTCTTTTAATTTCATTAGTTGTATGGAAAGTAAAAAAAAGGCAGTAGGCTTTGTTTTATTTAACCTATTATGACTTCCAAATGTAATTTCATTATTTTCTTGTCAACAAAGAATGTTCAGAAAAAGTTTCTTGAACATTTTTCACAATATTTTATTGTAAGGATGTAAAGATTTTGCAAAATGGTAATGTGTATGTGATTCAGAAGTACGTTTAAAACTAACACTGAAATCAGACTTCAGGCATTGAAAACTGTTTCTTTTCTGTGTTTATTGTCACTTTAATATTGCTGTGATTTAAAAATAAATGTTTGTCATTAAAGAAAATTTCAGTCATACATATATTTTGCAGAGTTCTGCATCACTAAATTGCTATGCAGCTATTTCCTACGTACAGTCCTCTTGTGGTCAGTTCAGCTCTGCTCCTCACACAATGGCTGTCTTCATAAACTGAAAAGAAAATAAGTCTTTAAAATGCAACTGTAAAAATAAACAGGGACAGTAAAATGTAGATATTTTTATTATTTAACTCTTATTAGGCTAAGTAGCAAAGAAGACAGAAAACAGTCTATTTTTACTACTTACATCAAACAGATAAATATTTACTTCACCTCTTTAAAAAAACAGAAAGAAAGAAAGTAAATGCATGTATTTTCCTCTGAATGAAAGCCCAAATTACCTTATGTAACAAAGTGCAGATTTTTACACCTTAATCACCCAATGACCTCAGAATAAATCTCTCTGTTGCTATTTTCTCTGTTTGTATTATCTCCCATAATTTCCTTTTTCTTTGCTTGCAAACAGCTACAGCCTAATGTATTTTAGTCTATATATTTTGTCTTTTTGCCTGTTTTGGATTTATACACATGCATAATCTATACTAACACACTTTTTAGTCATTATTAATATTGTCTACACTTTTCTGTAATTTTCCATATAGGTGAACATGTAAAAACTTGCGAGATTAAATTACACAGGTTTTATTTAAAACATGAAAACTCACCTGGTTCATGGTGAAGCTGGCCACTTGACAGTCACAGGGCAAGTTTAGCAGACGGGCTTTGAAACGATCTGAGACAGGAGGCATATATTTAAAACTTTGAAATACCATCTCAAGCCTATAGAAGAATCGAAACTACAAAAATGATTGCAACTAAATTAATAACAATTCAAAGGTTATTGGGGAATAGATACAAATTAATTTAAGGTTTGCACTCAGTGACTTTTAATTCATCACAGTGCTCCCCCCCCCCCCCTAATAGTTAAAAAAATAGTTCTATACATCATATCCGGTGTAGTAGACACATTGTGTAATATTGAACTGGAGTATATCCTTAAAGTCAGTGTGTTACAGTTGCAGTTACCTTTGAGGATCTGAAGTTTTGTCAGGGCAGCCACATATTTATCATAGTTGATCCCACCCTCTGAGCGATATTCCTGCCACAGAACTCTGAAGGTTTCGTCATCCAAATGAAATTCTGCATGGCAGAAGCAATAATCAGTGAAATTTCCCCGATTATTTATTTTATTTTTACAAATAAATGACTGCTTCTTAAATGTTCTGAATCTTTCTAATGACAGATCCAAACCTTTTGTACTGCATCAAGAATGTAATATACAGTACAGTTTGGTTTTCTGTGACTTTGCAGCTTATGTCTGTATAATGTGTCCAGTGTGTACTGTAAGCCGAACACAGCTGAGTGCGCAACTATGATATCAGAAATATCTGTATATTTTCTTGATTTACCTGCAGAGTTATGAAGGAGAAATGATGGATGTCAATGGATGTATTTTTACTGTACTTTTAAAGAAATAATGTCATACCACGGGCAACCAAAGCCTTTTTCATTTGGTTCTCAGTAACAGAGGGTTGATTCAGGCTCCCATAGCTCTCCACGTATTCTCTCCTGATAGCGCCCGCAAAACGCTCCAGTTTGAAGAACTCCACCACATCCAGGTCTCCAGACTGGTCTGCCTGAAAGTGCTGGTTAAAGAGCATGAAGCATGCAATATACATAGCTAAACACATAATTGCAATAAATGGAAACATATGCCTAATGGATAATTTTATAACACGGGAGGTTTCCATACTAATGTTTTCTATGCATCATGTTGGCATGGCTTTAACTATTACACTACCCACAAGCCTTTACTTCCTTTGCTATTTAAAAAAAGAAGTCATTAAGTGTAAAATCAGTCACATGAAGGTTCCTCCTCCCCAAATTACTTCTTATTTCTTTAAGTGTTAAACTGTTGGCTAGAATTTGTAGTTCTGGTTCTACTAACTGCCACAAAAAAGGATACATCCATGAGAGTCAGCAGCAGACGAGCAGTACTGAGAGTAAGAGCTAAATTTTGAAACATAAATGAAAAAAAAAACATGAATTTAAATATTGTTTTTCAATTATTATTGAAAATATTGGTGTTGGAAATGAAACAAACCTTTTCCATGAACAGAATAGCCACCAGCCTCCAGTTTAGCAGCGACATCTTCAGCATTCAACATCTGCAAACAAGGACAAAAATGGTGGTGTAATGGAAATTTTGCAGTATTATACCATTACCATTATACCATTATACCATTATTGAATAATTACATCCCAAAGATGCAGTATGTGTATGTACACCACAACCTCAGTTATAAAGCAACTTGCAGTTCATTTTGTGTCAGTTGAATGTACTACATGGATTTGTTTTGAACTTTTTTTGTCTTTAAACCACTATGATCTACATAATCAGTCATAGTTTGATTGTATTAGTCATACACACTAAACCACAAGTCTCCTTTTGATGGGTGGAAATCATTTAGAGGCACCCTGTAAAGCTGTACTGTAAACATCTGTTAATAGTCACCAAAACATTTAACATGTGGAAAGAATTTCCCCTCATCATAAAACATTCTGGTATCAGAGATGACTTAAAAGATTGAATCCTGTGTACTTTTATAAGCATGTGTAATAGCATGTTCATTTTTTTTTTTTTTTTTACTATCAACTGCTGGACAAATCCTGCTAGACTACAAACAGATGTATTCATCAACACCAGAGACCCTTAAAGTTTTTATTTTTTATTTGTTTTATGTTTTTTTTTTTTGTAATTTATCAAAATTTATTTATTATTTATTTATTTCCCATCTGCTGTCACATTTATGTCTCTTTTGACTCAAATTAAGGAAACAAACAGTATTAATGCCTTTGGTGATGGTGATGAGCTCCCTTCAGCCACTAGGCGTCACTAAAGCAGCAGTGATGACATCAGTGGATTCCCGCCTATCTGTTTTTGCTGATTTCAACCAAATTGTAATCAGCACTGGCAGGTTAAAACTTTGTTATTAGCCCCACAGCCCCCTGAGTTGTCCACTTACAAAAGAAGCAATAAGTAAAAGTTATCAAATTTACTTTAAATTTCTGAAGAACTGAAATACCTTAGGCCTTTTTTCTTCCTGTGAAAGAAAAAAAAGGAAGATGTCAAGTAAAGATAAATAACTGAAAAATAAAAATAACTCCTTTTACTTCATTAAGTTAAATTGTTAATGTTCTTTGGCCATCAACAAATTGTCGATTACTTACTGATATGCACGTTTCCTCTGGGAATGAGCTGCATTGCAGCTCTTCTGGCCAGGAAATGCCAAAATTGGACATCAGTCCCTCACAGTCCCGTCTGGCTTTCTCACAGAATGACCTGCAGGGCCACTGCGCTCGCCCTGCCTCACACTGAGGGGCATAAACCCGACATAGGAAGACCCGTATGTCCACAGAGCACACGGTTTGCACCATGGAGTTGAAGAAGGACATCTTCGTAAATGCTTCTCTTTGGCTTGTGTGTCCCAGAAGATTTGGAATGAGGGTCTGGTTGTAGGACAGACCCTGGCACATTGGTATGGTGATTGGCTCACAGACCCCACCGCTGCTGCTCACTCCATACTGGAGACACAAGTACACAATGTCATTCCAGCTCTGGTTACCTTCAGCATGTGATTCTTTCTTTTATAATGATAATAATTTTATAGTGAAACATGGTCTTTACGTAAATATGTGCCACAGAAATCCAACTAAAGCCTGAAAATTTTTTAAATACCAAATTATACATAGACTTGCAAATATGATGGGAATATCAGTATGGTGACAGAAAAAAATGGACACATCAGCAGAACAAGACACCACAAAAGGTAATCATGTGCTGTTGTAACTCACTCCTGCTTGTATTGTTAAAAACTGTCTTTGAAGTCCAAATAAATCTGTTTTTGTTGTATGTCACTCGGAAACCTGGACTCATTAGTTTTGACATTTTTTGGTTTGTACAAATCTACAATCAAAACGTTTTTTATACCCTGTGGCCTTAAAGATGTTTTTTATGAAAAGTATTTAAAAAAAATTAATCTCAGTAGATTGGTTGAACCATAAAAATGGACAAATACTACTATGAATACTTACATAATAAATGGGGACAAATGAGATAATCTGTTGAATTTGCACTTTTTTTCTTAAGGCATCTAAGGGCTGCCCATCATCTGCTATGTAAACAGATCACTTATTAAACGAGAAATAATTTCACAGGAAATAGTAGCTTCTGTTGTCTTGCAAATGTTTAACAATGTAAATGGTAAATAGCCTGTATTTGTATAGCGCTTTACTAGTCCCTAAGGACCCCAAAGCACTTTACATATCCAGTCATCCACCCATTCACACACTGGTGATGGCAAGCTAC